AAAAAAAAAAAAAAAACAAAACAACCATTGGCCAGGCCAGGCCAGCCATGCCCTGAACCTCAGCACAGCTGCTCCCTTGCTGCTCCTCCCCGGTTACTTATGTCAACGTAGCTACCCGGGGCTTCCTGAATGACAGTTCAGTATCGTTTCCGAGCGTTTTTGCGGGTAACGTGCACACAGCCACAGGCAGTCCAGAGCCACCGTGTCCCAAGACCGGCTTTCCACCCTTAGACCTTTCTCTTCCTTCAAGTTTGAAAGTCTGGATCCAAGTCAGGGTCTGACCAAACTTAGCTGTGCGTCCTCAGAAGTGTCAGTTTGCTTCTCAGAGCCTCAGTGTTTCCATCTGTAAAATGGGAGTACTGGACTCACTGATCTAGACGACAGTGACCATGTCATTTACTGTCCCTCTTGAGATTCCCCATGGTGAAAAGGGGGCAAGACACCGGGACCATCTCAGCAGAGTGGCACAGATGTGTGCCCGATTAATATGACTCTTCCTGCCCCCGAAAGCCCCCTTTCCTTTGTGTTTCTTGTTCCAAGGACCCAACCGTGGATTCTCTCCTCAATTCCCCTCTGTGTCGAGGGAAGAGGCAGCTCAGGCCGTCCCGGTGGTGGATGCCAGCAGGGTCATGCACGGCCTTTCTATCAGAGCAGGGGGCACACCTGGGCAACCCTCACGCTCTGTGTGAAATGTCCTGGGATGATCTCAATTTGCATGAGCGAGGGTTGCTGGGGCTTATGTTTTGTGACATTATGGAGGTGGGCGGCTCAGAAGCTCCACTGGATGATAAGAATGCCCCTTTCCTGTTTTCTAACAGGGAGACTATGAGGGCGAAAACGTCGAGTTCAACGACAGAAAAGTAAGTTGATGGAGCGGACAGGAGGTGGCTCTGTCAGAGCCTGGAGGAGTTCTGGGGAGGGTGGGCCTGGGAGCAGTTCTGGGTTGGGGTGGGCCGGGGAGCAGTTCTGGGGAGGGTGGGCCTGGGAGCAGTCCTGGGTTAGGGTGGGCTGGGGAGCAGTTCTGGGTGGGTTGGGGTGGGCCTGGGAGCAGTTCTGGGTGGGGGTGGGCCTGGGAGCAGGACCGAGGACTCACTGGCCTGCAGGGTCTCCCCAGGGCGCTCAAGGTGGGGGGCTGGTGGCAGGTGTCCCCTCTCACCTTTTGAGGAGAAGTCAGTGACTGTGTAGCTGGTTTGTTTCCCTCTTTCTGATTCTCAAAAGTGCCCTTGGCAGGGGCCGTGAGCGCGTGGAAGGGCCACTCCTGGCATGATGTTCTCCCTTATCTCCTCAGGACGACCTGAACCCTGCCTGGGCCTCCAGCAGTCTCCGCTGGCATGTGGCCTAATGCTGCAGGGCTCCCAGGCGATTCCACTTGGGAACCACTGAGGCCAGGTGCATAGAGAACAATGGCCCCCAGCAGCACACTGGGGGACTCTTTGATGGTGGTCAGTGAAGCATTTCTCAAAGTTATCTGACCTGGAACCCTTTTAAATGGAGAAGTGATTGAGCTAGTGTTCCAGGAAACACACTTTGGGAAACACTAGGTGACCCCTTTATTTATTTATTTATTTATTTTTGGAGTCTCACTCTGTCACCCAGGTTAGAATACGATGGCGCAATCTCAGCTCACTGCAGCCTCCTCTACCTCCTGGGTTCAAGTGATTCTCCTGACTCAGCCTCCCAAGCAGCTGGGATTACGGGTGCCTGCCACCACGCCCGATTAATTATTGGTTTTAGTTTTGTTTTGAGAGTCTTGCTCTGTTACCCAGGTGCCCACCACCATGCCAGGCTAATTTTTGTATGTTTTTAGTAGAGACGAGGTTTCACCATATTGGCCAGGCTTGTCTCGAATTCCTGACCGTTGTGATCCACCTGCCTCAGCCTCCCAAAGTGCTGGGATTACAGGCTTGAGCCACCGTGGCTGGCCCTAATTTTTGCATTTTTAGTAGAGATGGGCTTCTGCCGTGTTGGCCAGGCTGGTCTTGAACTCCTGGCGTCAAGTGATCCACCGTCTTCAGCCTCTCAAAGTGCTGGGATTACAGGAGTGAGCACCCATACCCAGCTGGTCCCTTTATTCTTTAGTGGCTGTTGCTAATTTCCCTCACACCCCAAAGCATCGGTCCCCTTCCTCTGCCCCTTGCTCTGAGCACAGGACCTCCACCCCTCCCACCCAGGCTTCCCAGGAAGCTCTGCTCCTCTGCCATGCCCCCAAAAGAGCATCTCCCCACCACAGCCATTTGCTCTTCCCTCCCCTCACATGCACCCACACCCGATCTCAGCCTCCCCCTGACGCCTCCACATCAGCCTCTGTTCCCCAAACTTGCCCAGCGTTCCCTCCCAGGGGGAGCAGTCCTTCCTGACCCTGCACGTCCAGCCCTTGCCCCAATTGCTGGTCCTTCCAGAGGAGGTGGGTAGAGATGCCTCCCCTACAACCTCACAATAGTGGCCTTGTCCCAATTCCCAGGGGCCAGGACCTCTGTGTATGGAATGTTCTTCGTTTCAGCCTCCCCCCAGGTCCCCAAACATGTTTTTTAACCTTTGGTACTTGATACAACTTGCCTGCCCGGGAATCCAGATGAAGATGCTATCTGACTTAGCACAAGTTACATATTTGGTTATTTTTAGTGTAACATCTGGCATCGTCTGAGACCCCATGACTTGCAGAACTCCCTGCTCTGATTCTGTTGGAAAAGGACCATCCCCTCCACGAGCCTGTCCTGACCAATTGCAGCCTCAGAGTCCAGCCCCCTTCATTCCTCCGTGCCCCTCTGGCGCTTGGCGGATGCCTGTCCTCCCCCTAAAGATGCTTCTGCCATGGACACCAGCAGCCCCTTTCTGGCTGAATTCAGTTCTCTGGGTCACAGGCCCCTGAACCCTAGCCCCTCTCCCCCTCCTCCATGCTCCAGCCACACTGGCCACTTTTCTAATCTCAAGATTGCTCGGCCGACGGTCACATCGGTGCCAGGACTAACTCATTCGGTTACTTATTCATTCAAGAAATATTTACTGGGCATGACTCTGTGCCAGGCCCAGCAAACACAGTGTGGGTTTGTCCAGGCCCAGCTGTTCACTCTACCTGGAATGCTTCCCACCCCCCATTTAATTTTAGGTCCCAGCAGTGGGTACAAGGCCTGGCCCATGGGGGTAGTCAGGGAGTAATGAATGACAGTTCAGTGGATGGATGGACTAATGGCTGATAGACGGATGGATGGAGATGGACATGGATGACTGGATGATGGATAAATGGATAGACAATGGGTGGATGGAGGGATAGATGGATTGATGGATGAAGGGATAAATAATGGATGGGTGAATAGGTGGATGGATGAATGGAGAATTGATGGGGGGTGGGTGGATGGACGGATGATGGAGAGATGAATGATGGTTGGTGGATGGGTGGGTGGATGGATGGGTGAACGGGTGGATGGTTGATGGATGGGTGGTTGTCTGGGTGGATTCATGGTTGGATGCTGAAGGGATGGATGGTTGATGGATGGGTAGGTGTGTGGGTGGGTGGTTGGATGGATGGATGCTGGAGAAATTAATGATGGATGATAGGTGGATGGGTGGATGATGGAGGAATTAATGATGGAAGGTGGGTGGGTGGATGGGTGGCTGATGGAAGGATGAATGATGGATGATGGGTGGGTTGACGGGTGGCTGATGGAAGGATGAATGATGGATGATGGACGGGTGGGTGGATGGATGGATGCTGGAGGAATTAATGATGGATGATAGGCGGATGGGTGGATGATGGAGGAATTAATGATGGAAGATGGGTGGGTGGGTGGATGGGTGGCTGATGGAAGGATGAATGATGGATGATGGGTGGGTGGATGGGTGGCTGATGGAAGGATGAATGATGGATGATGGGTGGGTTGACGGGTGGCTGATGGAAGGATGAATGATGGATGATGGACGGGTGGGTGGGTGGATGGATGCTGGAGGAATTAATGATGGATGATAGGCGGATGGGTGGCTGATGGAAGGATGAATGATGGATGATGGAAGGATAAATGGTGGATGATGGGCGCGTGGGTGGATGGATTGGATGGATGCTGGAGGAATTAATGATGGATGATAGGCGGATGGGTGGATGATGGAAGGATGAATGATGGATGATGGGTGGGTGGGTGGGTAGGTGAATAGATGGATGCTGGAGGGATGGAAAATTAATGATGGAAGGATGGGTGGATGGATGATGGGTGGGTGGATTGATGATGGAAGGATGAATAATGGATGATGGGTTGGTGGGAAGTAAGTGAATGGATGGATGCCAGAGGGATGAATAATTAATGGTGGATGGATGGGTGGATGGATGATGGGTGGGTGGGTGAATAGATGGAGGCTGAAGGGATGAATAATTAACGATGGATGGATGGGTGGCTGGTGGAAGGATGAATGATGGATGCTGGAGGAATGAGTGATGGATGATGGGTGGGTGGGTGGCTGGGTGGATGGATGGATGCTGGAGGAATGAATGATGGATGATGGGTGGGTGGATGGATGGATGCTGGAGGAATGAATGATGGATGATGGGTGGGTGGATGGGTCGGCGGAGGGATGGAGGCTAGAGGGGTGAATAATTAATGATGGATAGATGGGTGGATGGGTGGATGGATGATGAGTGAGTGAGTGGATGGTGGAAAGAAGAAAAGGAGAGAGGGAAGATTAGATGGGTGTTTGGGTCCTCACTCAGAGCTGCGGGGAACTTCTCTGCATTCTCCCACGATGTCTCCACATCACAGCCTGGCGACGAGTTTTTGCCTTTCCAGTGACAGAATCTATGGCTTCTCCATTATTGTTCCCATCAGTGGCAGGAGCCCCAGGTGCCTGGCCCTGGGTACCTCACAGAGCAGAAAGAAAAGTACAGCCAAGGACATTTTCCCGTGCTGAGCTGGAGGGTGGGCAGAGGACAGTGTGGGGAGTTGAAGCAGGAGGCAGGTCTGGGCCATGGCAGGGCAGCCATCACTCTCTCCAGGCCTGATCATGGGATCACAAACACGTAGGAGTACTTGGGAGTGAGCCCCTTCCTCCAGGACGCGGGCGAGTTCACACCTACACAGAACTACACCCTGGGTGAGCAAGGCATGCCCACAGGTCTGTGTTTGGATGTGCAGAAGGTGCTGTGGTGGCACTGGAAGAGTAGGACCACCTGGGCCCCGCGGAGGGCTGGCTTGGGTCATGGGGGGATTTCCTCCAGGTGTGGACTGAGGTCTGCTGCCTCCCTGGGCTACACTGGGAGCCACAGAGCCCAACCTGTAATTCATCCGTCCATCCATTCAACAGTCACTTACTGAAAACCTGCAGGCCCTGTTGGAGGCCTGGAGGGTGAGAAGGACCAGACAAACCTGGTCCCTCTGGTTTTCCGTTTCTAGAGGGAAGGGCAAGGAGCAAGGACGTACACTAATTAAAGGCTGCATCCATGTCACCAAGGCCTGCGGCAGCCATGTGAGTCCAGGCACGAGGTCTCCACGAGATGGATGCCTGAGTGCTATTGGTATCCCTCTGGGGTCCGGGTGCTGGAAGGCTCCCAGATCACAGTGGCTGCAGACGCCTGGCTGGCCTCACTCTCCAGCCCATGGTCCCCATGCCTGGACACGCCCTGCCCGCTCACTGGGGCTAAGGTGCCCACCTTGGATTGCTTCCAGCACTAACAGTGGAGTCTTCAGTTGGATTTCCGTGCCTTGACAGTGCAGAGTGGTTGATGTCGCCTCTTGGCGGGAAGAAAAGTCCACTGAGGTCAAGTGGTTTATGTAGGAAGCTGGGGGTGGAGCCACTGAGGGTGGGTCCTTCCTCACCCAACGCAGAACTTTGTCCTTTCTCCCTGTCCCTGTCTCACTCCTCCCTCCTTCTCTCCCTGTCTCCCTCTCCCCACCCCACCTCTCTCTGCCTGTCTCTCTGTCTCTCCATCTGTCTCTGTCTCTCCCTCTGTCTCTGTCTCTCCCTCTTCCTCCCTCCATCTCTCTGTCCCCTCCTTCCCTCCTCCCTCTCTGCTGCATCTTCCACCTATCTTGGCGTAAATCTGCGGTTTGACTCTAGGTGAGGGGAAGAAGCTGCCCAGGTTAGCGATGGCTGCTTTGCTTTTGCAGAGGTGAGGTTCCGCTTCATCAGGGTTTGCTGGCGAGGCCTCCCTGTGTACACAGTAAAGCTGTAGCCTTCTCGTCGCCATCTGCCTAACGAAATGCACCATGCTACCTTTCACACATCACCAACTTACATGAGTTCCCTCTGTGAGTCGGGTTCCCTCCATGATCTGGGAGGAGAGATGGCATCTTCAGTGTAAAGGAGGAGGCAGGGAGGGGGACGGTCTGTCCAGGACTCTCGACTGGTGGGGGTGCCTGGCCAGGGCCACAGGCGAGTCACAAGCCCCTCTGACCATGGACATGCCAAGCTGCAGGTGGGGCTGGTGGCTTCGAGGGGCTGTGCAGCAGCAGGCGGCCCCTTTGTGGATTTCAGGAAGCCCTCCACTTGTGAGCCTGGGTGGGGGCAGCCGTGGGTGCGCCTGGGCTCCTTCCTCTCCTGTTTGTCCGTGGGGGTCTCCATAGTCCACAGCCCCAGTGTTACCGGAGACGCTCAGGCATGCCAGGCTCCGTCAGCTGTGGAGATGGCTCACACCCACTTCCCGGCCTCCAGGCACCGGGAGCAGTTACGGAGGCTCCAGGGGGTTCCCTGTCCCCCAGCCGTGACCTTGACTCTGAGTCTGGGAGGCAGCTGGCCCCACCTCTGGCTCCTGGTGGGCAGTCTCTGGGCCCCTCATGGTACCTGCATCCTGCCTTCCCTAGGGAGGCCCTGTAGCTGGGTGCGTGTGACGTGTGAACCTAGGCTTGGAGTTGAGGTCTGGAAAGCATTAACTACCCACATGCGTGGTTTTATTTAATTTTATTTTATCACCAGCTGTCCTAAGCCAGCATCTTCCTCAGGACACCCTCTACATGTTCACACAAGGCTTCCAATCCACCAAACTCACTGCCGTCCCTGCCCAAAGCCTGGGGGGTAACAGGGTGTGTGTCAGTTTCATTTATTTCACGAAGCACTGTGAATCAGACAGCCCGTCTTGGGAGATAAACCTCGAGTATCTTTGCATCCCATGAGATTTTTAAAATTTTCGCCGCTGGTATTTATTTCTCTGCTCAAAACCCTGGTGGCTTTGTGCCCTTTATAAAGAATGGTTTGGTGTCTGACGGGAATGACCAAAAACCCTAAATGTGAGAAGCCATACAGTGTCCGGCCCATTTAGGTCAATTCCAGGTCAAATCACAAAGAGCACAGATTCCATAACCTGCCAGAAGCTTCTTTCCCATCCCCACGTTCACCTGAAAAGGGAGGCCTGCTCTTGCCGGCACAGGCCACTCTCAAGAAGCGTTTGTGGGATGAATGAATGATGTCACTGAGGCCCAGTGCCACCTCAGAGTGTCACCAACTCACTGCTTCCTCCCCTCAGCTCCTGTATGAAGAGTGGGCGCGTTATGGGGTCTTCTATAAGTACCAGCCCATCGACCTGGTCAGGTAAGAACACCCCACACCCTGTGGGAATCACGTCCCTAGTCCGATGGCAGTCGGATCTGTCCCTGTGGGTTTCAACTGCTCTGAATATTCAGTACCTGGGACCTTGCGTAGGAAGACCCCAAGTGTCCTTGCAGGGCTGACGATCTGGGCCAGTTTATTCAAATTCCCTGGAGGGCGGGCTCTTTTCAATCATATTCACTGCCTGGCCCAGCCTCCCTGGGCGCCTGGAGGGGTTTCCTGCTTTGAGATGTACAGGGGAAGGAAAGAGCTGCCTCAGATGTGTAAGAATTTCTCCTCTCCCCAGGGGATCTCTGTCCTCACAGGGCAGGAAGGAGGGTGGACCAGGTTAGGCAGTGTGTCCCATGGGAACTTCCAAACCAGAGCTGGGCCAGTAGAAATCCGTTCACGCCATCAAGGTGCCAACCACGCTTCACATGAGGAGCGATTGATTTTCTTGGCACCTCCCAGCCAAGGTTCTTTCCAGTCCTTAGGCTGAGCAGGGATTGAAACTGAGCCGACAGCCTCAGGGGAAGTACGTCCACACCCACCAGTGTGGGCCATCGCACACAGAAATGCACCCACCTTCCATGAGAGAGAAGTAGGGGCCGGGTGTGGTGGCTCATGCCTGTAATCTCAGCACTTTGGGAGACTGAGGCGGTGGATCACCTGACGTCAGGAGTTCAAGACCAACCTGGCCAACATGGTGAAACCCTGCCTCTACTAAAAATACAAAAAAATTGCCCAGGTGCAGTGGTTCACGCCTGTAATCTCAGCACTTTGGGAGGCTGAGGCAGGTGGATCGCTTGAGGTCAGGAGTTGGAGACCAGGCTGGCTAACATGGTAAAACGCCGTCTGTACTCAGAATGCAAAAATTAGCCAGGCATGGTGGCACGTGACTGCAGTCCCAGCTACTAGGGAGACTGAGGAAGGAGAATAGCTTGAACGTGGGAGGTGGAGGTTGCGGTGAGCCCAGATCATGCCACTGCACTCCAGCCTGAGTAACAGAGATCAGAGTGAAACTCCATTTCAAAAAAAAAAAAATCAGCCAGGCATGGTGGTGGGCTCCTGTAATCCCAGCTACTCAGGAGGCTGAGGCAGGAGAATCTCTTGTACCCAGGAGGCAGAGATTGCAGTGAGCTGAGATCGCGCCATTGCGCTCCAGCCTGGGCAACAGGAGCAAAACTCCTCACAAAAAAAAAAAAAGAGAGAGAGAAGAGGGAAGGGCTTCAGAAAAGCAGAGAGCACCCCAAGCCTAATGGGGCAGCCCAGGACCCCTCTCCGCTCTGGAACAAGAGACCCAGTGCCCCTGGTTGAGTTGCTCCTTCCTGGGGGCCCGTGACCTGTTTCCCTGCTGGTATTGAATAACAGTGAGCTTGTCTCTGTTTGGCTCTGCCGCCCGGTGTAGGAAGTACTTTGGGGAGAAGATCAGCCTGTACTTCGCCTGGCTGGGCGTGTACACCCAGATGCTCATCCCTGCCTCCGTCGTGGGAATCATCGTCTTCCTGTACGGATGCGCCACCATGGATGAAAACATCCCCAGGTAGGCGGCAGCCCTCCCCCACGTGCGCACCAGGGAGCCCTCTCCTGCTGTCCCAGCTACGGCGTTCCTTGGGACACAGGACTCGCACACCAATTCCTGTACAGAGGAAACCTCACATCAAGCCACGGGCCGTCAGAAGGAAAGAGCGAGGTCCGAAGCCATCTAGGAGTCTGGGTGCCCGTCTCAGCCCCAGCTGTGCTAGGCTGTGTTTTATTGTTAAGAGGAAGGCATAAAACAAACATCCAACCGTTTTCATTCTTGGAGGTTGTTCTGGTTGGCTTGTTCCTTTTCATTTTTGGTCATTATGTGACAAGAAAATTATCTGTTTCTTTGTGCGGCCAGGAGGTGAGACGTGAATGCTAGAGGTCTTGGTGCAGGCTGGCACTCTCGGGAGGTGAGACATAGATGCTAGTGGCCTCCGTTCAGGCTGGCACTCGTGGGAGGTGAGACGTGAATGCTAGGCCTTGGCGCAGGCTGGCACTCGGGGAGGTGAGACGTGAATGCTAGGCCTCGGCGCAGGCTGGCACTCAGGGGAGGTGAGA